CCACATTCCACATCTACTATAGATACAAAGACTGGGAATTCTACATAAAGACAACAAGAAATCAACTGACATTTGCATAAGTGAAAAATAAAATGTCAATGTTGTGACTTAAATGATTGCTAGTTAAAAAACTGGTTTCTATATTTAGCTTAAACCAGTATAGAATATGCAGAAACCTCTACCAAAATATGTTGCCATGAAGTTAATTTACAAATTGGTTTTGCATGCCTGAGAAAAATGGTTTTTGTAGCACATAAACTTGATGATGTCCTGTGGCTTAATACTAACTTGACCAGGAAGTCTTCAAGCATGTATTCTTAATTCTTCACAAATGCTCAGTTGAAGGGTGTAATGGAAGAAATATGTGAGGTGGTATGGGCTGCCTATGGCCATAACATGACAATGTTCACAACTATCCTGGATAGCCACATCCTTGGACTGTGTACACAGTGTACATAGCTAGTGTCTAAACCCTTGTAACCCTAAAAAATCCAGGGCCAATCAGACAAAAAGATAAGCAAGCACATAAAGAACTGCCTCTCCATGCTGTGTTTAGTGATCACAGCAGGACGAAAAGGCTCCTTGACAATCTCACTGCTAAAAACATTTACAGCCAGGATGGTTGAAATGGAGGTGATAGGTGTAGGGTAGAGATTTTCCACCTCAAGCTGTGTAAGTTCTGAGGATCCAGTGAACAATATAGAGATTGTATCTAATAAATGGAGAATTGAAATGTACTGAGAGACTAGATCTTAAGGCTTTTCATCACATGTAAGAAAATATAACTGCATGAGAGAACTAGGTATGTTTGATCGAATCTTCATATTGTACTGGATATGTTAAATACACCCCGATACAACTGGAAAAAAATAAAGTAATCTTGAAAATGTTAAAATTGTATTTCAAGGATGCTATTTTACTGAATTATCCTTTAGACTATTCAAATGCAAATCTTATTTGCAGATCACCACTGGAAGCCAACAAGCAGAATATGGTGCAACTATACCATCCTCCCTCCTGAAAAGAAACAAAACAAACAAATAAACAACCACACACAAAGCCTCTAGTCCGGAACAGGGAAGTGACTGTACTCGTTTCATTCACACAGGTCCTTTCCTTGTTTGTGGACTGATATTTTTCAGCATATAAAGCAGCCTGTGTCCATACCCAGGTGCCATTACTTTATCCCTCACCAATGCCAAGCAGCTATCTCACTTGTACAAATGAACCTCACTGCACACAGTGTCACAGTGAGCTAATAATTTGTCAAAGAAGTAGAATCAGTTATTACCGAAATACATTTTGGGATTCAAAGGTAAAATATGTATAACGCTGTCTACCATGCTGAAAGAGAAAGCTGTACAATTTTTTAAAAAGCATCCAGACAGGATGCACTTGGCCGCCTTATATGTAAAGCAGAAACTCACTGGCTATGTTCACCTACTAGATTTCTTCCTAAGTGTATAAAAATCCAATGGTCCCTGTGCATTAGCATTCCCTCTGATGATACTTTTCAAAGATGGGCTTCTTTGCTTCCTTTCTTTATTCAACATGGAAACTAAGAAATTTGAATAGGCTTTTTATGCACATGTGCCAAGCAATGAAGTGATGGGGATGTCTTCTGTACATATGTTTCTCTTACTGGCTGATGAATAAAGCACTGTGGCCAATAAGGAAGGATGATAGGTGGGACTAGGAGACAGGATTCTGGGAAACATAGGCAGAGTCAGTTATCATGTAGGACTCGAGAGGAGTAACAAGTCTGGATTCTTTCTATAGTAAGATGAACCACATGGAAATACAGAGATTAATACAAATAGATTAAATAATTAAGACAGAGCCAATTAAGAATCTGAAGCCAACAGCCAACAGTATTATAATTAATATAGTGTCTGCGTGTTCATTTGGGGCTGACATGGTTCTAGGACCAGGCTGGTGGGAAGAATGCTTGTAACAGTAAAGTCCATAAATTCAACTGCAACGTTCGACTACTAAGAAGTTACCTTGAGAACTTAAAAAAAAGTCCTTGCTTGGCAGTACTCTGGCCTGCTGTTCCCAGTCCACTGTGAATAAGCCACTGTCTCCCAAGACAAGGAGTGAGAGACTTAAAAAGAAGACGAGACAGGGTCATGGTAGCCGCTGGCTTTTCCACCACACTGCTATTCTCATGGCACACAATTTTCAAATGCAAATTTCAAAACTTTTAAAGTGATCAATTTTAATAAGATTTAAACAACTAGGGGATGGAGAGATGGCTCAGCAGTTAAGAGCACGGGCTGCTCTTCCAAAGGTCCTGAGTTCAATTCCCAGCACCCACATGGTGGTTCAAAACCTATAATTGTAGTTCCATGGGACCTAGTGCTGTCTTCTGTTGTTCGGACAAAACATCCATATGAATATAAAATACAAAAATAAATCAATCTTTTTAAAAATAGAATATATGAGTGTATAATTAGTGCTCTTACATGTAAAATTGCCTCTTTTCCATATCATACCTCCATTTGGGCAGTTCTTCTCTAAGTTTTTGAATATCAAGCTATTTCTGACTTAAGCCTCTCAACTGCACAGTATTTGCATTTCTTTTTCTTTTCTTCTATGTGCTCTGCTTCCCACTCTTTACAGCAGACTGTTGGTGCCCATGACATATCACAGTGATATATTATTTATGATTTACTAAAGCTTCAAACTGACGATCAGAAAAGCAAAGCAGCCAGCCACTAGCTCTTACCTCTGCCTCAGACTGAAACTCCACCAAACCTCACACTGTAATCTCAGACTGCTATGATTTCCTCAACATTGATGGAGAATCCAGAGAAGGAGAATCCTCAACATGGGTGAAGACCCTGCTCCTGTTTTTTATACCTCTCTAATGCTGGGATTAAAGGCATGAGCTCTGTTACTCTTTTGGACTGGTTCAATCTCGTGAAGAAAGATCCATCTGTTTTTGTGTCCTGAGTCCTGCGATTAAAGGTGTGTAGCACTACTGCATGATCTCTGTAGTTTGAGGATGACTTTGCTTTCTGAATCCTCAAGCAAGCAAGCTTTAATAAATCATAAATAATATATCACTACAACATTATTATAGATTATTGTAAGGTAATCAATAGTTGCTAAATGCTGGACCCATATGCATAACTTTTTTAAAAAGCAAGATACATTTCTTAGCCCATATATGGTGATGGTACACAGATATGCACGCAGGCAAAACACCCATACACATAAAATAGTTAAAACAAACAAACAAACAAACAAGATATATTTCTTAGCCTAGACATGGTGGCTGGCACATGCCTTTAGTCTTACAACTAGGGTGACAGAGACAGATAACTGTGAGTTCAAGGCCAATTTTGTCTACATAACTAATTCCAAAAACACCTGTAAGTAAGTAAATAACAAATAATTAAATTACGTTTTCAATTAATACATTTCAATAAAACACAATCATGTAAAAAGCATGTGGCAAAGGAAATCCAACATGTATACTGTATGCACAGAAGAAGGAAATGTTCTGGAGATTTCTACAACCACACCAAGCCAAGAAATTATGAAATATCATTTAACTAAAGATGTCACCAGAGTTTATGAAAACAAATGCAACATTTTACTATTCAGAGAGCAGAATTACATAATAAACAATGGATACAAAGAAACAAATCAACAGTATGCATGTCACACTTTTTAGATAAAGGACACATACATATTCCATAAAGCTCCTACATGTTGAAGACTTTATAATGGCATCTTAAAGACAGCTCAAGAATGCTTCAAGATCAGTACCGGTGTCAGGATGTAACCTGCTGTGGAGTGCTTGCCTAGACCTTAACCAGCACCTACGCTCTGAACTCTTAGATCCCAAACTACTAAAAAAAAAAGCATCCTGTTTTAAGCCATGTTCAAGAATGGCAGCAGATCATTAACTCTTTATCCTCACTGAATTCTAACTAAGTGCATGGGTTGCAGTCAAAGTGAAGTGAATTTACCCAAACAAAATCTCCTAACCAAAATCTATTTAATAATGAAATAAGAGGGGCTTTAAAATTATTCTTTCAAAGTTGTCAAAGACAAGGAAGTACTTAATTCTGTCTAAGGCACAGAATATCAGATTAAGCCTAAGAGTCCCATTACTAACAGCATAAATACTCTGTATGATGTGAATGGGACAAAACCAAAAGATGACAATGGGCTAGAAGGTAGGAAGGGAAAGGGTAAGTCCTATGAAGAATTCAGGGCTGGTGTCATCTGATTCTGTGCCACAGAACGGGTCCCCAGGTCTGCCACATTAACCTTGAGAATAAAGAGGAAATGAGCAGTGTGCTTTCCCGCACCTCATTCTATGTACTTCAAGAACACACAGAGAGAACAGGCAAACACATCATGGAATATTCTGGATGCATTAGAATGCAGGTCTCAAAAGCCACCATCTCACAGCTACATAACTACTGAAAACACTCACTACCTCTTTTTCAGGGGCTCTATACAGAGTAATATTTTCATTTCTGGTATGTGATACTGTTTGTTACAAAAAAAGGTTTTAAAACCCTTTGTTAATAACAGTCACCATGATTCTTTAATTTCAGGATTCATTATTTCTATAAACAGAGAGATGTTCAGGAAGGTCTCACTTCTTCACTGTTTTGAGTAGCACTGAAATCATACCATGTGCCATGAGCAAACCAATTAGGGGCAGTAGAAGTCTCCTCATACTACCTCAGCCTACAGGAGGCTTGTGACAAACAGAAGGGACAATTCCCTAATTTTAAATGCTGCTGCTGCTGCTGCTGCTGCTGCTGCTGTGTGTGTGTGTGTGTGTGTGTGTGTGTGTGTGTGTGTGTGTGTGTGTGTGTAAGAGCCATTATTTTCATATTTCAGGTGCTACCTATTTCAAAGGAAGGTATTGAGCTAACTGAGGCTGCAAGACTCCTAGAGATCCAAGTCTCACAGTTTCATTACACCATCTTTTGTCACAGGCCACACATCCTGGCAGAGTCACCCAGCATTACCTTTTTCCCTCCTGTCACGAACTGCTTACAACTGGATCTCACAAACTGTGGGTGCACAGCAATGATCTGCAAAAGAAAAAGTACCCAAGCCCAGGTTAAAACTTGCAAGTGCACTTGAGAACCCTTTGTCCACTCTGAGCAGCATGATCTAAAGAATGGACCTCAGCAGGGAGCAATACATTCTGTAAGGTGGTGTGACTGCAAAAGATGTCAGTTTTACTCTTGTGTGATAAAATGTATTCTCTGAAGCAAAATCAAAGCTACACAAGAGTGAATGGTCTAGCTTCTGGCTCTCTGAGCAAACTCTTCTCCTAAAGGCATGAAGGCAGGTAGACCACAAAATTGTGACACTGCCTAGAAGAACTCAGGGAACCTGCCCATGTGTAGGACTTTCCCGAGGCTGCTCTACCACTGCCCAAAAAGAGGAAAGCAGCAGTGACATTCCAGGGGCTCCAATGAGCCTTGATCTCTGAGACCCATCTCTTTAAATGTAAGTTTCTTCCTTCTTACTTTTCATGCCCAACTATCCATGGTATCAGAAACTTTATTAACTTTCAGTTGAATACATTTTACATTTCTCTCTCTTTTTTTTTTTTTATTTTACATGTCGATCCCAGTTCCTTCTCCCTCCCTCTCTCCCCCCTCACATGCACCCTGACCACCCTCCCCTCCCATCTCCCCAATTCCACATGTAGGGCAATGCCATCCAGGTGGGGTCATATAAATCTGTCAAGTCATTTGAAGTAGGGACTAGGACTTCTTTCCTGCCTCTAGGTTAAGGGAGTATCCCTTCATGGCGGGATGTGTCTGCAAGGTCATTTTGTGCACCAGGGATACATCCTGGTTCTACTGTCTGAGGTCCCTTAGACTGCTCAGTCCTTCTAGCTGAGACCCATATTCAGGGGGTCTCAGTCAGTCCCATGCTGGATTCCCACCTATCAGTCTGGGGCCCGTTAGCTCCTCCTTGTTCAGGTCCGCTGTCTCTATGTGTTTCTGCAACCTGGTTTTGTCCTCTCCCTTTGCATCTGGATTCTAGTTTGATTCAGTGTTTAGTTTTGGGTGTTTGCATCTGTTTCCAACAGGTACTAGATGAGGGCTCCATGATGGTGTATAAGTTAGTTGTTGATCTCACTATCCAGGAAGGGAATTTATGGTAGCCATTCCACAGTTGCTCAAATTGTTAGTTGGTGGCAGTCTTATAGGTCTCTAGACCTTTCTTTAGATTCAGTTTTCTCTTCAAACCAATAATGGCTTATTCTGGAGAGGATGTGGAGAAAGGGGAACACTCCTCCACTGCTGGTAGGAGTGCAAACTCATACAGCCATTTTGGAGATCAGTATGGTGGGTCCTCAAGAAAATGGGAATTAGTTTACCACAGGACCTGGCAATCCCCCTCTTAGGCATATAACCAAATGATCCACATCCATGCAACAAAGACATATGCTCAACTATGTTCATAGCAGCATTATTTGTGATAGCAAGAACCTGGAAGCAACCTAGATGCCCCTCAACTGAAGAATGGATAAAGAAGATGCAGCACATCTACACAATGGAATACTACTCTGCAGAAAAAAATAATGCAATCTTGAAATTCTCAGGCAAGTGGATGGCACTTGAAGAAACCATCCTGAATGAGGTAACCCAGTCACAAAAAGAGGAACTTGGTATGTACTCACTCATATATGGATTTTAGACCTAGAGCAAAGGATCATCAGCCTATAATTCACACCACCAGAGGAACTAGGATACAAGGTGTATTCTAAGAGATTCATATATAAAGTCTCTCACAGAAGGGGGGAAGGGACAAGTCCCCCAGAGCACAGGGGAAATGGGGGGGCAGTGAATGGAGAGAGAAGTAGGAGAAACAGAGGGGGAAGGAGAGGAAAACACATGCGACTAGGAAGATTGAGTCAGGGTAGGAATAGAAGACAGGAGAGACAGAGAGAGAGAGAGAGAGAGAGAGAGAGAGAGAGAGAGAGAGAGAGAGAGAGAGAGAGAGAGAGAGGCAAACATACATTTCACATTTCTATATTTAACTTATACATTTCCCTCCTCCAATGGGACAGGTTAATGGATTTCTCTACACCATCATCACCAGCATTTAGCATACATCCTCTCATTCTTGTGAACATTCCTATTTGTTTGGTCAGTGTTCACTTCAGCTCTGCCCTAACCCATCCTCATCCTAACTCCAACACAGAAACACACATTGCATTACTCCAAGTTCTTAAAATCCCTAAAGAGTCTTACAAGCTCTCTCATAACACACAACAAGCATCTCTCCTCAAAAGTAACCATCAACACACACACACACACACACACACACACACACACACACACACACACACACAAACGCACTCGCATAGAGGTATAGAAAGATAAGCCAGGAAGGGCAGATATACTAACTGCTTCTCCATGCCTGCATCAGCTGGGGCAAGCCTCCCTTCCAGTGCCTGTCTCATTCATGGGTAGGACTTAGACCCCCTTCACTAAGCTGCCAATCTCATTGCTCAGCACTGCTCTGCCAAGTACTATTTCCTTTCGGTCTTCACTTTTACTATTAATCAAAACATAGTCTATGGAGATTTTCTTTGCACACTTTCTGTTAACCAGATGACAAAAACATCTTTTTGAAGAACAAATGAACACATTTGTTCATTTTTATGAACAAATATCTTGAAAGAATAGTCTTTACTGATGGTTCTGACTACCTCTCCTGGAACTTGCTCTGGCAGTTGTCCTCATTAAGGCCACCAGCAAGCTCAAGATGCCATTCGAAATGCTGGACAAAGTCTGTTCCATCTCCAGGCTGCCTTTAATACCACTGCCCTCTCCCTTCTGGAAACCATCTATTCTTGAAATTCTAGCCATCATCTTGGATTTCCCCCCAGTCTTTCTAAGGACTGCTTCTCTGGCTAGAGGCTATTCTTTTTTTTTTGGGGGGGGGCAGGAATTTGAGACAGGGTTTCTCTGTGTAGCCTTGGTTATCCTGGAACTTGCTTTGCAGACCAGGATGGCTCAAGAGATCTGCCTAGCTCTGCCTTCTGAGTGCTGGGATCAAAGGCCTGTACCACTACCACCTGGCTTATTGGCTATTATTTTCTACTGTAATCTTTTGAGAACCCCCAGAATATCACCATTAATCTTCTCTTTTCATGCTGTAGTGGCAAACTGGCTAATATTCTTGAAAAATGGCTTCCTTCCTCTCACCTTTAGCTACAAACTGTTTAAGGGATAATCTCCAACATCTGTTCCTAAACTCTCTGTAAAACCATCTGATGCACCCCAGCTCTCTAAATTCCTGGGAATAATCACAATGCCTTCACACAAATTATTATGTAATACAATTGGTAAAATTTCCTCAAGCCATTACTAAAGCAAGACAGTGCATTTACCCTCAATGTCTCCATCCTTGACTTTATTCAGCCATGCTGTCACGAACACTACAATGTCTACCTCTTAAAAACTGTGTCAGTCTACATCTTTATCGTGAAAACTTAAGATTGCCCCTGTTACCAAGCTCCACAGTGCTATGTTCAGTACACTACATCGGTCCTCTAAATTGTCTCTTTCCCAGGGACTCTCATGTTTAGATCCCCTTCCTTCCTGGCAAATTCAACTTTTCAAAACACGTCAGATCTTATCTATCCTTTAGTATTGGTCAATCTGCGTTTAAATAAACACATAAAAGAAAATCACCTCCTTTAACAGTACAATATATATTTTACCATGATTGGTATCTTCAGCTGATCTCCCTGCCTATTACCCATAGATCTGCCATCTCCACTGCACAAATTATTAGCTTTTCTAGAGACAGGGTCCCTCTATGCCACTCTTCTTCTTAGGCACTTAATCATCTGTTAGATGGAAACCAAATTCCTTAGTCTGAAGATCCAACCTGCTCTAGTCTGATTTTTATTGCCTCATTACTTGTTCATGCACATCTAGACAAGACTTTCTGCCAGTTACTGAACACAGTTGGAACTGACCACCTGTACCTGTCTCTGTCTCAAAGCTCAGCCAGACACCATTCAACCTATGAAGTTATCACTTAAAACAAAACACAACACCACCAGCCAATGCAGCTAAACATGACTTCTTTTATCCCAGAACTTACTAAGATTGTCTTTACCTTGTCACTCTTTGGTCAGAATGGTGTGTGTGATTCATCCACTCTAATAAAAGCTCCCATAGCACAGACTGAGACCACAGTAACATGTTCTACATCTGGTCTCAGTTGCAGCATTCAAGTCGCAACAGCCTACAGGATGGACATTGGCTCCATCACTAGGGGAGAAAGCTTCCTCCTGAGGGAAAACTTGCTTAGTACTTACTTTAATGGGACAGTCGAAAGTCTCATGGAATTCTTCTCCAGAATATAGTCCAAATACTTGTACCTGAGAAGTGAACACATGACATCAGTTCGTACACTGTGGCACACAGCAGTAGTTGTTTCTTTGTAGATGCTATGAATTTGTCAATGTGCAACTGCATCACAATTCATGTTCTCCTTCCAAAGATGACTACTTGCTTTGGCACAAGATCAGGGCTCTTATGAACAGGGCTTCTGCAGACATTCTTTCCAAATCTCCTGGTTAACTCACACATGCTTATGAGGCCCACATAACAAGGGGTGAGAATGTTAAGTCACAGGTTATGATTATGTTCATATTTGATGAACAAAAAAAAATGAAAGACTTGTTTTATTTATTTAAGGTCTTTTAAATTGTGTGTGAGTGTTTTGTCTGAGTGCATGCGCGTGTATCACATGCATGCCTGATTCCTGAAGAAGTCAGAGGAGATGGTGTCAGACCACTGGAACTGGAGTTACAGATGGTTGCAGGTAACCATGTAGGTACTGGGAATTGAACCATTCCTCTGTAAGAGTAACAAGCCCTCTTAACCACTAAGCCATCTCTCCAGGCCCAACAGACTAGTTCTAATTAGTTTTTAGTCCTAACAGAAGATCATGAGAATTGAGGGTGTCACCAGAGAAACAAACAGAGCTAAGTGATAGCATTAGGACCCGTACTTATTATCCCAGCACTTGTGATGGATTTGCTCTTTTTCTGATCTCTAACAAAATTTCGTTTTTACTTTTGTACCATGAGGCCATTTGCATACGTCTTTGGTCTGAATGTTTGTATCCCTCAAATTTTTCTGTTGAAATACAATGCCCAACGTGATGGTATTAGGAGGGAAGGCTTTTGATAAGCTGTTGGCCCAGGAATAGGACACCAATGTCATTATAAAGGGAATAAAAGAAGCTAAATAGTCACTTGTGCTGTCTGGTTTCTGTCATTAAGGATACAGATGCATCCCTCATACCAGGCAAGGACTATAGTTAGCAATGTCCTCTGGGAGCACTCCCAGACACTGACCCCAGATCTTTGTAGTCTCAGAGCAGCGAGAAATAACTTTCTGTTGTTACAGACTATCCAAGCTAAGTTTATTCTGTTAAATCAACACAGCCTAATGAGACTTCTTTTTTTTTTTTTTTTTTTTTTTGTGGCATGAAGTTATAGCAGCAACAGCTATACTGTTTGTTGAGAGGCCACTGTTCTTTGCTGTTTAGATTAGTGAGTTTTTTTTTTTATTTTTTTTATGCATATAGAGTCTTTTTTATTTAATTTTATATAACAAAGTCCAATTAAATGAAAACAAACATTTATACACAATATTTGGTTATGTGATCTCTAATGACAATTCATTTTTTTTTTTTCTTGTACTGATAAAGACTACTCAAACTCATTTTTTTCTTGGCTTAATGTTGGCAAGTTGTGAATTGTTGACTCTCCCAAGTCCCAAGCAGAGCATTCTCTGAAGAAACAAATACACACTTTGTAAAAACAATCTTTGAGCAGGTGTGGTGAACATGCCTCTGCCTGTAATCCAATAGCCAGGAGGATGAAATAAGACAATTTTTAATTTGAGGTCTGTCTGGAGATACATAAACAGCTTAATTCAAACAAGCAAGCTAACCAATTTTTTGCCATTTATTCCTTCCTCTAATTTTATGAGAATTGTTAGAGCCCCAGATTAGCAAGACACAGAACTCTCTCAGAATAGAATCCACATACCACTGCCACTGGGCTTACTGTTGGGAGGGTGCGAAGCCATTGTTTTTCTATAAATTCCTAGAAATGGTATTTCTGATGAAGAACAGGGAAGCAAAAGCATTACTCTTAGGCCTTTACCTTGCCACAGTGAAGCTTGATGGAGACCACAAGTTTCTACATAGTAAGTCAGGCCCTGTATCACTGAGCCTGAAATGGGGGAAATCAGCAAGGGCTCTCCTTAGTGGTGTACCTCAGTGTGAATGTCTGCTGAAGTAGCAGGGCATCAGCTCCTAACTCAATCCCTTATCTGCAACTACAACAAATCATTAACAACTCCAAACCTTTAATAGACCTCACCTCTGATTGTAGGTAGTTAAAACCCTAAAGACTAATGGCAGGCTCACCCTAGACAAACTTGACCTCTTTCTCATGGGCTGAAGTGACAATTTTAATGGTCTGCAACTGACAATATCTACCCAGGGTTGAGGATCTTGCTCTGCACTGCTGCTGGGGCATTCTATGGCCCAAACCAATGTTCTTGTTAAAGAGATGATTCTTCTGCAAAACTAGAGACTTGCCTATGGTCATTAAAAACAAGTGTTGTGACCAGAATCCAAATTCTCCAAAGCCCATTCTTCTCTAAGATATCATCACATCAGACAACCTAAAATCTGCAAATAAGGAAAGTACTCTTTCTCATTAGGTGTAAGAAGAAAATAGGATAGCAACATTGAAAAGTTAGTTGTCAAACCATAGAGGAGTTTAAGTCTGAACTAAGAAAGCTTTCACAGGAGGTGAAGCAAAGGATCATTCAAATGGAAGTAAGCATGACTTAGATGGTGGGTGAGATGTAAACTGTCTACTGAAGAAGACCAACACTGTATCCTTATGGGATCCTACTTCTTGGACTGTAAGCCCAACTGTGACAAACACAAAAGGAGCAAAGCCAAGCAAGCTCTTAGGAAACAGACACTGACCCTCAGCTCAGAAGGAGAATGCCTTCTTATAGTTAAAACACACACACACACACACACACACACACACACACACACACTGAAAGAGTAACCACTAAATTGAAAGTAAGATGAGAACTCTTGTAAAGCTAGGAACACATCTGTAAATATCAGTACTTGGAAGGCTGAGGCAGGAGAATCTCAAATTCCAGGCTAGCCTGGGCTACAAAATGAGGCCCTTTCTATAAAACAAGACAACAAAAACGCCAGGTCCATCATTATTAACAGTAAGCTTAGCTGAACACACAGAAACACACATAAAGTACTGTACTTCCTAAGTGAGATCTCACCAGTGTCATGTCAGCACTATGGTGCTCTGGAAAGCTATGGACATTGTGCTTCATTTCAGTGATGGCATATCCTAAGGCACAGGCTCACAAGTTATACAACTAATGTTACCAAAACAGCCCTCATTTCCTATCCCCGGATTCCTCTGTATTTATGTGGCTAAGAGTATACCGATCTGTAAAGGGAATCCAGTCTAGGACAGCTCAGAGTTTTGAATTCTAGAAATTTCAAGGTTAAGATAAAGATTATAAAATTAAAGGTCACAACAAAAAGTATTCTTTTGAAAATGGTATTATCTACAGCAGCTCGAACAACCTGCCACCAAATCTCCTAGGGGGAGGAGGGAAGGAGGGAGGCACAAAGAGGAGAGAGAGGAAGACAGAGAAACTGACTCAAAGACTGAAAATGAATGAATGAATGAATGAATGAATGAATGAATGAATGAATGAGAATTCCTCACAAATATCTTACAGCCAATCTACTGAAAAGTCCTGTAGGAGTTTTCATGAACAACCATCCAGATAGCCACATGAGTATCACAGAGATATGGAACATATACTTTACCTACCCTTATGAATAAAACAGGAGGATGTATGATTAACTTTTGCATGGAATTCTACCATTTATCAACTTTAACACCAGGCAGTAGCCTGCTACATAAACAGTAACTATGGTTGAAGTAGCCAAAGTACTACACCATTCTCCCACCTTCCAAATAATACCAGGTCAATAGGCAAGACAGTGGCACTCTTGGAAGCTGGCATTTTATCTTGGGCAGTAAAAGGAGAGATTGCTTTCATCCACCCTATTCATCAAAGAGAAACATCTGAGACTAAAAGAGATCATAAGGGAAGCCTCTACTTGTCTCTGGCAAAATCAGCTTCACCAAATTCCTCAAGTAAAAGAAGATCTAGTTCATCTGAAGGCCTTGCTTTTGATTCTATAATACCTTCATGCTGGTTAGTTTCTGTCAACTTGACACATGTAGGAAATGCCTCTATCAACTGGCCTGTGGGGGATTTTCATGACTGACAAATGATGTGGGAACATCTAACACACCGTGGACAGTGTTAGCCCTGGGCAGATGAACCTGGGTTATGCACAAAACCAGCTAAGAGAGCCAGGAGGACAAATCTGGGGAAAAAAGCCAATAAGCAGTTTTCTCCCACAGTCTGGGCTTCAGTTTTTACCTCACTGTTCCTAATTGAGTTCCTGCTCTAAGTTCCTCAATGATGGACTATGACACAGCCAAATAAACCCTTTCCTCTCCTCGTTGATTTTGGTCACTGTTTTTTTTATCACAGAAACATAACTACTACAATTTCAAAAATATCAAGTTATACTCACTAAGAGTCAGCTAAGCACTAAATTTGTTTGCTAACATGGTTCTTGCTAGGACAGATAAAAAGCAAACAGAAACACACTTGATGTCTTAAACAATGCAGAACACCATTCCAAAGACTCAAAGAGAGAAAAAAACAATGCATTTAACCATGCCTTAATAGCACTCAGAAGCCAAAGGAAGACCCAAAAGCTATTTGGAAGTCTCAACAAGAGGTTTCCAAACATCTCTGTTTGGAAACTACAACAGAGTGGTATAGAATAATGGTGACTGCCATTAAAAGGGGGGTTAACAGCTACCATATGCATCTTCTCAACCAGGTACTATCCCAAGTGACTAAAGTTAATCCATTGAGTTCTTATAGCAGTCAGGAGTAGGTAAGTGTTTCAAAGGGCGAGACAAATTGAGGCACAGAGAAAAACATGCTTACTTAACAACACACAACAATGTAATTCAAATCTGAATCCCTAGAATGTGCTGCCTGATACCCAAAGAAAAATTAAAAGTGCAAAATGACATACAAATGCACCCAAAGGAAAAAAATAAAACTAATGTTGGAAGGAAAACCAATCAGCAAAATAATTAAACCAGTAAAGGAGCTGCCCATCTCAGAGAAATGGAAGGACAAGACCAATATAACAGCAAAACCACTATGCCAGAGCTGACTCGGTCAATACATCCAATTCTTCTTTCAAGCTATGCACTTTCATGATAGTGTGTGTCCATTAATCCTTTTACATACAAATGTTTAGGTAGAAAAAAATGTAAGTAGGGAAGAGTCCACACTGTAATGAGCTAGAAATGAAACCTTGGAAATAGTCCCTGTACATTAGAGTGGTATTCCCAAATTTCCTGGGTGGGCTTCCCTTTGTGCAAATTGTCATTCTGAGGCAAAGAAGACACCTGAAGCCAAACACTACACCACCACTAAGACAGTAGCGTGAAGTGCCGGCCCAGGCAGCTGGAACACAGCTACACTCTACCTTTAAGCAATACTGCCTCCAGCCTCATATTATTGAATTTCTTTGAAGAAATGAAAACAAATAGAACTGAAGTAATAATCAAAATTATAACTGAAGTAAACTTTCCTGAAATGAAAGCAATACTTTAATATATGGATCAAAGGAGCTACTGTGTTCCAGATAAAAATTAATGACAACAGTTATGAATGAGACTTCGGATAGCAACTGGATTACAAAGGCCACGTTTATTATTTTTGTTATGTTATTACTATTATTATTATCCAAGTTATGAAGGACAAGAGTTATTTTTAAAGTTTCTTAAAGAGTAAAAATGGCTGACCAACAGGTATGATACAAAGCGGGAATTATCTCTAAAATCTGAGAGAAAAATTTATCAACTCAGAATTTGTTTTGTTAAATTAGTACACTCTATATGAAGTCACCCTTCACAGATGAGAAAATAAACCCGATCTAAAATCCTTATCCTGAAAATTGTATACAAATCCATGCCACCAAAATGGAGCTACAGACACAAACATTTTGTGCACCTTAGTATCTCAAATGCAGTGCTCAAACTCAGAGAAGCCATGGGAAAGAGCTGAGCACATATCGAATATATCCGTAAACTAACTAACTATTAGAATGGCTTAAAAAAAAAAAAAAAAAAAAAACCAATGCAAGTATCAAAGATTAACAGTAAAATAAATATAACTACTCACTATGAGTCCTAATAAACCAATGAAAGCAAAAAAAAAAAAAGAAAATACAGTAAATCAGACAAAGCTGACCTCAGTGAAGTCCTACCTTTCTTATGACAGATAACCACTTCATATCACTTTAGACAGCTTCTCAGTTTTCACAACATTGACTACTGGGCAGGCCTGACTTACATAAATACATGTAGTGGGAGATTTCTTTATGGTTCTATTCAAGCTAAGAAAAGATATGGGGGGGAAACACTTCAAAATATATCATGAAATTACACAAAAACAAGTCAGATATACTTTTTTTTTTTCTAAACCACAGTGTTTAGTGGGAACTCGCAGGTCATCACATTGCATAGTAGACTGAGTAATTGGAAGATTCCACTATGACACATTACTAATAATTCTTCAACAGTGAAAGTGCTGGAATCCCTAATGAATGTTTCCAACTGAAAATTCTTACTTGCTCAGTTAGTTTAAAGAAACTGCTATCTGCTTTAAGTTCAGAAATAATTAAGATTCATTTTCTTTACAAATACATGCACAAAAATGTTTCAACCATGTAAATGATTCTTTTCAATTTCCATACAAACCAACACTTCCCTTAACTCTTCCTTTGACACATGTTCATCTCAGAATTTCCCAAAGGACTATAAACTTTGATAGTATGTTTTGAAAGGCAGTAGCATTCTAACTGTGTTTCAAAACACTTTGGGGGCAATATGAAGCAAAGATAAATAAAATGCAACTGTGTATGTCATGAGGAATTTGTGATCTTCTTGTTAACAGGTCAATGGGTGTATTACTGTTGATAGAGACGAGTGTAGCACTGTTGATAGACAGAGATGAGTATACCCTCTTTTGCACTGATTTTGCGCTGAGTATATTATTTTTAATTTACTCATCTTAATGGCCCATTGAATTCAGAGCACTTAAAATGTATAAAATTAGATTAGGAAATCTCTATTCACTAAGGGATGCATAAACTTATGTAATGATTTTTAATGCATTCTCTTCTTAAACTGATATTTTAGAGAAGAGGCTTAAAAACTCTGCATTAGGATTTTATCACTGCAAGTGAACATTAGAAAAGACTTCCATCAACTTAAAAACAAAGAAGATATTCTTGCAAGTAGAAAATCAATCATCACTACCACTAAATGTCACAGCATACCATCAGCAAGAAGCACTGATAGTTGTTAGCTATATGCTTCACAAATGATGTATGTCCTCGGTCCAGGAAGTAGGTGCCAGGTTTTTAGAAAACTGTACATATATTGATTTTACATTTATTTAATGTGGCCATTGTAAGACACTTTATTCTTCTGATAAACTATGATTGCTTATCAAAAGATTCTATAATTCAAGAGTAACATTCATAACTTGTGTGTTAAAATGAAAACCACCAGCCCACAGAAATCATGCCCACAAAATCCAATTTTGTGGATTTATGGCAGAAAAGCATTAAACTACTGTCTTGCAGGAACTGCAGACTAGTCACTGGAGTCAAAGTGGCACAGCAGTAATGATTAAGGGGGTACGTCACCCTGCCACAGCTGTTAATCAGCTTAATACTAGTTAGATTATTGACATTCTTGTAATTACTTTTCCTAAGGCACATTTGGGCAAAATATATTTTATTTTAATTATGAGCAATCAAAAGCAAGTCCAATACTGAAAAAGAATAATCAAAGCTCTCTCCACACAGGTGTAAAGTAAGCAGAGAGCATCCAATCACTTGCACGGGTAAAATCCAGCACTCACTGCCCAAGCTACTTTTCCCGTGACCACTTAATCACATACCTTGCCATCCTCTGAACACACGCCCATGTGTTCTCCACTTTCATCCAAGCTAATCTGGTTTATCTTCACAGGACTCTATCAAATACAAACAAAAAAACGGCATGGAAACTTTAGGTAAACATTTCAACAATCTAATATCTTTGCTCTTTGTAAAACTGACATGACATGAATTGTTTATCAGCTTCATGAATTAAGGTGTACTTTGTTCTGAGATGAAAATGTTAACATTTCAAATACATAAAACAAGCAGCTTTGTTGCTATACTCAGTGCGAACTCAGAAACCTATGATGTCCACAACTTTTCTTTCATAGTGAAAATATTACTACTCAGAATGTTGTATTTCTTTTCATCTGTTTTACTTACTTTATATCCTTAAGTTTATGTTTCCTAACGAAAATATATGAAAAGAACAAATAAAAAAATGGAAATAATGAAAGCACATAAATTTTTTTTTTTTGCTTGTTTTAGTTTGCTTCATCAATCTATTAGTTCCCTAATGAATAACCAGATCAACATCTCATTTTAACTATAGTCATCATATTTATTTAGGAAAAAACATAGCCCAAATCATATTAATTAATTAATGTGAATCCCCTCTTCTTTTAAATAATTTTAAATTTAAGAATATTTCACTTTTGATGTATTTTCTAAAAATTAAATACATTTTAAATTTCTATGTAGCCAATTGTATATGTCCTAAAATATTCATACAGGGGTTTTCTAATAAAGTCAAAATTCAGTGAGCACTGTCAGCATCACACAATAGCTTTTGCTCTCATTCCTAAATAATGACAGGTTCCAAGTACCTTACACAAAGCTCCACAGCAGCAAATCATGAAAAAGAAAGTGAATCCATAGCAGTTAACAACAAAAGAATACATGTAGAGTTTAAAATTACCCCATTTGCCTTGTTGATGAGATAAAGGGAAATACACAAAACAGAATACTGAATCTTCAACAGGAAAGGATCTCACAGTCATTAAGGAAAGGTCAGGGCACAACAAGACCCTCACACTTTACAAAGGCTACATACTGATTGATTGCTGAGAAAAGTTCCCAGTATTCTAGCTACAAAATCCTTTCACATCTGGATCCCTAAAGCACCACACAACATTCTGATAGGTAGTCCAAGAAAAATCAGTTAGTTCTAAAAGTTTCTAGCATGTTAGTCAAGGAAAAGGTCACTGAAGACAGGTGGTCGGTCCATTTTATAGGGAATGAACTAAAGTCCATGGTAAAGAACCACAGCAGAAATAAAAACAGACTTACATTACATGGATGTGAGAAAGGCCTGAAGATAATAGGTACTGCAGAGTTGGTAAGGAAAATGCAAAGACAAAGAAAGACTGCCCTGGGAAAGCACTGAGCACAGCATGGCTACCAGGCTGAGCACCAGACCAACTATAGGCCCCACAGCCTTTTAGGGATAAGCAGTTCCTCAAGGTGGTCATCTTTCATTCTGACCTTTCATCAAACCTTTTATATCCACTTTATACTTGGCAAGTGTAAGTTATAAGGACTTGTCACTGTATTTTAATTGACATCTGTTATGACTGGCTTAAAATACATCTTCATGGGTGGGTGTGGCCTACCTTTTCTTTGGGAGTGTATCTGACACCTACAAAACTAAATCCAAGTGCTGAATGCAACCAATGCCAACACTCCATTATAAGGCCTTTACTGCAAGTTATAAATCAGAACTAGACTTTCATTCCATTCAGTGCCAAGTTTTGTGTACTCCTGGATTCTTCCTACTAAAAAGGCCATGGCCTGTCCAAGTAGTCTCTGACTCACACTTACCTGTCCCCAAAATGAGATCTATGCTTTATTTGATACAATTTTGTGAAGAAAGTGCTAAACTAAGGAGAGGTGTCTCCATCTCATATAAGGAAAAATGAAGCTTCAGTTTCTATGTGTGATCCAAGGCTTACTAACTAGCTAAAGCACCCAATGGTATCTCAAGAGAAGATGAACTAAATTTACCTTGACACACCTAGGAGAAACTGCATCATTCCATTAATAAAACTACAAGGGAAAAAAATAATACCTACAAGGCATGACAATACTTCCTCTCAAATCTATTAGCAACAGATATCTTAAAACTTTCCAATTTTTGTTGATTCACTTCCCTGACTACAAATAAACTTAAGCCTTTTTCTTTAGTCTACTAGGCAATTAACATGATCTCAACAAAGTACTTATTTAAGTCCCTTTCACTTTTTTCCCTACTAAGGTATTTCCGGAAACTTGAGTGATAGTTCAGAGGTTAAGAGGCATGATGCTTTCAGAGGGCCCAGTTTTGATTCAAAGCACTCACATGTGACTTTTTTCTCCAAAATAGTTACTGCTTTATTCATTATAGTGCTACCTTAACTCATTTCAGGAGTCATTGTATTTTTCTCCAAGAAAGATACCAGTTGATCTAGTCGCATTTATGAAATAACTTGTCCTTCTTCTCCCAAGGGAAAGGTGTTTAGCATATTGTGACTATTTATATAGAGAGACAACTTTCTAAGCTTTTGCGTGAGTTCTCTTCAGCCATCTTCCCATCAGTTCCTGCTGGCATCTTTGGAAGACATCCCACCCAGAACTTCCCATATTGCCCGTGGTTCTTCTCAAGCACTTCTCTTACCATTTTCTTCTCTGCTTGGCTCTTAAATTAATACTGCTTGCTTTATCCAGTCATCAATTACAGGTTCACTAACTCAAATGTTAATTTCATGATTCTTCAATGAATAAAAATTAGAATTGTACAAATTCTTTCAAAAATTAGAAAAAGGAATGCTTCTCAAGTTACTTTACTAGTCCTGTATAAATCCACAATTACAAATTTTAGCAAGAACATCATGGGAGAACACACAAGCAAGGACCTAAATGGAAAGTCCTGAAGAAACTATTAGCAAAGCCAGTAAATACATTAAAGCCAAGTGTATTCAAAAAAAATGCAAATCAGATTTAACATAGATGATGCATCACAATTTTACATATTAGTAAAAGAGAAAAATTATAGAACCATCTCAACAGATATAGAAAGTATTTAACAAAACTCAACATCCATTCATTATCAAAAGCTTTAGCACAGAGGAAACCTCCTCTGTCTCTTAAAGAATACCGCATATGACTAGTGGGTATATCCTACCATGATCAGAGGATTTCAGTTATCTTCATGATACTGATTCTCCTAACCCAGGAACATGATGCATTTTTTCCCTATGAAGAGTCTCTCCACATGAAGCATGTCACCATATGAGGTATGGCTCCATATAAAATGTCTCTTCACAAGAAGCATGCCCCCATGAGAAGCTATCTCTCCATAACAAGTGTGTCTCCACATGATACATGTCTGCATATGAAGCATCTCTTCATGAGAAGCCTTCCTCCACTTATGTGTATTTACAGGTCTCTGAAAAAGCTTTAGGTTTTCCTTTGTTTTATTCTAGGAGAGTCCTATGTTTTATTCTAGGAGAAGCCTTGATTAGTAAGCATCTTTTCTTTATTCCTAAAATTCACAATCCAACCTCATTTATAAAATATATAATAATAGGCAAAATTAGGTTAAGAGAATAATAAACAAAAGCAAAGATCTAATACTTCACTACTATAAAGGACAGTACAGTGAAAAAAGAAAGTTTTGAGGAAGTGTCACATACTCTAGTCCCTTGGTCTAGTAGCTATGTTTACTTTGTGACTATTTCCTTACATAATTCACATACTTTTTATTGCTAAGGTTAGAACTATTATTAGAATTTATTGTTAGGTTAGAATAAAAGCAATGGGTTTCATCATGCCATCTTCACACTCATCAACCACACATTATTCTCCAAACTTTAAAAGATAAGCATGAATTTTTCTAGTTAAACTTTAAAAGGGGTTTTAAAATGTCTGGGATCATCATTTTTGGTGAGTTATCTCAAGGTTTGTCTTTCCTCTTTCTTTTGTGTTTATTTTTGCCACACCTGCCCCCATGATTGTCTGGCTCCTCAAATGTTCTATTCTATGTGGATCACTTATATTTTTTTAAAAACAAAACCACTCCTTTGAATGTGATGAATGTACAATATCACTCAATTGAAAAAAATGAAAGCGTGCACATGCAGTGTGTTACAATAGGAATATCTGATTGCCATTTTTTCTTTGGTTTCTACACAACTGTTTATCAGCTGTACTGATAGTTCTATAGCAGCAATACACTCCTGCTATGCTGCCTTTTCCTCGGAATTGCAACCTTTTGTTCCCAGGGAAGGCTCATAGCATGAAGATGCCAAGGAAAACTGCAATGGTCAAGAAGCTCAAGATGTTAACAGATTTCCAAGGCTCCTCATTCCTGGGCTGAGATATTTATTAGCTGGACAAGGAGCTTCTCAGAGATGCAGCCTTTGTGAGTCTGTACCAAGAAGAGGTGGCCTTCTCCATGATGAAGCTACCTTTGAGTAACCAATCACCCTGTAAGTGGCCACATCAATTCACTGGCTCATCAAGCTGGATTGCACTGGAATGGTGTCTTTGTTGTGCATACCCCAGGAATAGTTTCCCAGGTATCTAATGTGTTCTGTTTTATTAATTTCTTAATAATTTTCACTTTATGCCTTAGGGAATTGTTTTTATTTTCTTACTTTAATTTCCTGACATATTACTGCATTGCTCAATAATTATAATAATTCATCCATTAACAATACAATGAAATATCTTATTAGCATTTTCTACAAACCAAAACCCAGAAAATATATAATTGTAATAATTATGTTCTCTCTTTTTTAATAAAGTCACATTTTACTCTGCTTCAAATCCAAGATGACAATGACATCACAGAGGTCTCCTCATCCATACATAATGCTTTCCAAATATCCAGAGGATGCCTGAAAGTGCTAACAGTACTAAGCTCTATACACAAACAAGGAGGAGGCAGTTCATCCGACAACCAAAATGGCTACTAAGCAACTAACAAGTAGGTAATAAAATACAAGATATGGCAAGGGCTGACTAATGCTCTAGGTAGATAGCAAGACATTATCAGGCTCAGAATGGTGTATAATTTGCATTTTATGACTTGCTTCTAGAATTTCCAATATAATTA